TGAAACCGTCATCCGTATATCAGGATCAAAATTATTCGCTTTCCTGATTTGGAATAAAGATAGTCTAATTTAATTGGTTTAAAAGCGGACGATGCGCTTACGGTAGTTGTAATGCCGTGGCGAATTATGCATTTAACAACAATCTATCGCACATTAGCTTCGATGAATTCGGCATTTCGTTTTCTATGAATTTTAAACAATTTTCAATCTGGCGAACGTTCCTTCGAGAACGTTCCTTTGTTCAAAATTTGCCGTTATCGCTAGGCAGTTCTTAGAATTTTCGATACAGTAGTGTTTATTGCTTCCAACGACCCTTGATTTTCGAACGGCGGTCGAACGTTCGCGACGTTCGCTTTTATAAGGGTTCTCAATTCTTACTTTCATCGTTTAAATTCATAATCATCCATCCACTCTCTCACACTATCGTTCCGATCAGGTAGTAATGATCCTTGTTGAACCGGCTAACGCTTTGTGCAATAGAGAGAGAAAGAGTTTTCTAACAAAGGAATTATTACGATTTTCCCGTTTCTACGCAGTTAGCAAGGGAAATTCCCGGAATGCGAAGCACTGGCTAACTGCGTAGCGCTGGTGTTGTGCTACGGCTCTCTCTCTCTCTCGAGCTAACCCGAGTTTTTGTGCGCTGTACAGTAAAACCTGGATAAATTCAACCAAGATTGGGACCCAGTGGTTGCGTTTACCTAAGCACGGTATCGAAGCTCGGATGACACGCGACGACCAGCTAAGCGTGAACGTAGAAAGGGACAGACAGTGGTGGAAAGAGAGAGGTCCGAAATCAAAGGAAAGAGCCGAAACGTATCGGTGTGACTAATACTAATTGAATCAAAAAACTTTTTTATTTTTGACTTTTTTTGAGTGAAACTTTTACTAGCGCATTGGTGAGATTTTTGTGAGTAAAGTGGTACCAAACACGATATAGTTTCAATTATAATTACTTGCTAAAATTGATGTTATAAGTTGGCGAAAAGCAAGAGAGATCGAAATCCAAACCAGTCGCGGTGTCGGCTTTGGTTTCAAAGGTTTCATTTATCCTAGCGAGGAGTCGATTCTGGGCATTTAATGTTTCATTTATTCAAGCAAGGAGTCGATTCCGGGCATTTAATGTTTCATTTATTCAAGCAAGGAGTCGATTCTGGGCATTTAATGTTTCATTTATCCAAGCGAGGTGTCGATTCTGAATCCGTACACATGTTTTCTTTGTAGCCAACATGCCGATTCTGTGTCCGTACACATCTTTTGTATTCAGCCGACATCATTTATATTCAGTCGTGGTCTCAATTCTATGTTGCTTATTCTATTACTATTGTTTATAAATATAATTCAACCTATATCGAGTTTGGTATCATTTTAATCAGAAAAATCTCACAAATGCATTAGTAACAGTTTCATTGAGAAAAAGTTAAAAATAAAAAAGTTTTATCGTTGAATTAGTATTAGTCACACGGATATTACGGTCGGATCATATTACACGGTTTCCTCGTCGAGCGGCTCGGTTCGCCTAGGGGGATCCCCCCAAGTGGAGGGGATAGCGATGTTTCATTTATCCAAGCATTCTTTCGTTGAATTTATCCAGGTTTTACTGTATTTATTGTATTATATTACTATGATTGGCGACGATAGTTTCAAGGAGGGTCACGTAAACTGTTGAAAAGAATTAAACTCAAACTCTTCCTTGTACACCCCTGCATGAGAAATCCTCGTAACCTCGAAAGGCTTGACAAGAATGTACAAGGTCGAGGAGGAATGGAAAGATTGGCGAAAAACCGAAACACCCGCCTGTACGCCCCTTACATGAGAGATTCTCGTAACCCAAAAGGGCTTGATAAGTTTCAAATTTTCCGCCGGGACGTAACACTATACACACTCACACTTCACACTCTCTCGCACCCATTCTCTCACCTCTATTCATTCAATCCTTTACTTATTACAGCCGAGCTCTCGGTAACCATCCTTCGAGTTTCCTGATTTTCCTTCCTTCCTACTCTACGTGGGCTTAGCTCCCCTTTTTTTTTTATTTTAAAATAAATTCGTGCTACTCGAAAGTCTAGCTCCGCTTACCCGCTCCGTTTTCCTTTCCCTTAACACACACATTCGTATCTTTGCTGAATTTCTCTCTTTTCTTTCTTTTCCAGAGTATCCGTCACACCGTTCGTCTCAGGGATGGCACACCGGCCCAAGGGGCCTCGCACGGTGGCACAGAGCTTCGGAGCGGGGCTGCATGTTTGCATTTATACTAAATTGTATCTAATTCTTTGTGAATAAAGAACAATGAACCCTAATTTTGTCTACTCGACTTTTTATCAATTTACAATTTGAATTTGCCTCTTAATATACAATCATTGATTTAACGAAGATACGCAACGGCCACACTTACAATGGTTTTACGGCGTTTCAAATTATTTACATTTACATTTTTCTCCGCTGTGTGGCGTTGTTTCGCAATGCAAAAGTTGCCGACACGCAACAGTATAAATGTATGTATGGTTTTACTTCTTCAAAATATGTATATGTAGTTTAAATTTAGTGAAAATTCTTTAATACAAAAGTAAAACTTTGAATAAAATAATCTATTAAATAATGTCTGGTAAACAAGGCAAAGATTTAGCACTGTCAATGTTACGCACATTGCCAAGAGTGTGTTTAGGTAACATCCGAGATAATCCTGGTTCAAAGAAACCTGTAAGTATTACGTTAATAATATTTTATATCTATATGTAATTAAAATATTTATTTACAACAAAGAATTTTAAAGAAATTGCAAATAAAATATATTTTTTACTTTTTGTTATGTATTCTTTTTGTTAAACTTTAACAAATAGTTAGTATAACATAATTTATCATTTTTAGTGAATTTGTGGTATATAATTTATAATGGAATATGTTTCTAATAGTCAAAACGGGGTAGAGGACAACACGGTGGAAACAAACATGGATGTGGTAATAAAGGTTCAGGTCAAAGACAAAATTTTATGCGTCTTGGATACGAAACTGGAAATACTCCATTTTACCTTAGATTTAGTCGTGAACCATATTACAAAGGGCATCAGTAAGTATTTTATATGATTTTGAATTAGTTTACATCTTTTTCATTGATATGATTGATAATAAAAAAATATAACTACAGTTTAAGAAGAGAATATCCTCCACTTTCTTTACAACAACTACAACTATATATAGACACAAACAGATTAGATTCATCTAAACCTATTGATTTTGTATCAATAATCAACACAGGATTGTATGATTTTAAAATGGAATGGAAACATGCAGGTGTTCATCTTACGGATGAGGTATATAATTTTACGTTACATGAATACCTTAACCCTAGAATAGATATATAGTATATTTAATAAATATAGGGTGCATTGGTCTAAAACATTAACTAAAGTTTAAATTGCATTATAAATTTTTAAATTTCAGTAAAAGCAGTTAATATTATATAAAACATAACTCATATTTATATTGAATGTTGTAATAATCTTTTAATCAATTGTTTGCAATACAGTATCTTATTATAAAGTTTGGAAACAAAAAAGCAGTTGGAAGTCTCACATGATTAGGTGCATAAATCATACACACCAGAAACACTCGTAAACCAATGAAAAAAGTCATTTTCATCTATAGTAGCTAAAAATGTTCATCTATAGTAGCAATGAATACAGCAGATTCAATAACAACTAAAATGTATAACATTAATAACTATATTAATCTATAAAACTGTATGCACCCACTCCAAAGACAAATACTATCTTTTATGTAAAAAATAATTCATAACCCCTTTAAAATTGTTTTTAAGGGAGCTGATAATTTTAAAACAAAAGTGAATATAGAAGTTCAATGGGCCAGTGAACATGTAATTGCAGCGATAGAAAAAAATGGTGGCACTATTACCACTGCATATTATGACACTAGGTGCTTATTCGCATTAAGCAATGTAGACAGATTTTTCACTACTGGTAAATTGTTTGATTGTATTACAACCAAATGGTATCTTGTAATGTTATAATTGAAGTATTTTCAACTATTTAGGAGAACCAATACCTCGCAGACTGTTTCCACCAACAGACTGCTTAGAATATTATATGAGCGCAGCAACGCGAGGATATTTAGCAGATCCTGAAGAGATTTCTAAAGAACGATTAGTTTTAGCTCAGAAGTATGGTTATGAGTTACCAAAAATTGAAGACAATCCAGATTATGAAATGCTTATGCAGCGTAAAGATCCTAGACAATTGTTTTATGGCCTTGAACCTGGTTGGGTGATTAGTCTTAAAGATAAAGCGATTCTTAAACCCAAAGCAGAATATCTAAAGGAATTTTACACAAGTTGAATTATTTGTACGATATTAATTAATAAATAAATAAGTTAGTGTGAAAATAGTGTATAAAATCAGCCAAGTTAAAATTTTTATAATAGACGAAGAAGAAAGTTAAGAAGTAGATTGCGACAGACGAGAAACGAAAAGTGAAAATAAACTACATACATAATACCGTTGTAGAACTTTGGAAATAAAAAATCAAGCGCGATCATAATTATACATCGTTTTAAATATTGAAATTCAATAAATGCATATTTATTAAAGTATAATATTTAGGTACTACTGTTTTTTTTAAGAATACATAAACTATCCATGTATTACATTTGTAATTTATTAATCATTGAAAGATAATTACTGATTCATATGCAAATAACACAGACATTGAATATAAACCAACATGTATATTTTACGTTATTACATTTTATTTATCAATACAGGCGTTTCGTAACATGGTGTTAAAGTCCATATTTAAACCATAAAAACATAACCTAAACATCTGGTATTTCTAACATGAATAAGAAAAGTAAGTAAAAAACAGTGATCTCGTTATCGTCGGCTACGAGATGAAACAATATCAACATAATAATTATTTGTAACGAATACTTCGGTTTCCTTCTTAAATTTCATTTCTGTCATCTATATGTATGCGGTAACAATTTAACAATGTCATACCAAGTCAGATCCGAGGATTATATATTTTTAATAAAAAGTTTATTCGCTGGTGGTAAGTTTTTTTTTTATATTCATTAGAATAATTTTCATTTATTTACTATTTAGTTAAAAGCAAGTGTTATATTTTTTAATTATATTTAAACTATTAGGGTGTCAACATTTTTATTAATGTTACAAATATACAGTAATAGTAATTTATTACGAAATTATAAAATAACTGTTTAATAGGTATAGCTGGAATGTGTTCAAAAACAACAGTAGCCCCATTAGACAGAATAAAAATATTATTACAAGCACATAATAGACACTATAAGCATTTAGGTAAGAATAAATGAGTAATGTTAACATAAAAAAAACATTTAAAGACTCTATGACATTATTTTGGTATAGGTGTTATTTCTGGACTAAAAGAAATAATCCAGCGTGAAAAATTTTTTGCTTTGTATAAAGGAAATTTTGCTCAAATGATAAGAATCTTTCCATATGCTGCAACACAATTTACTACATTTGAGCTGTACAAAAAGGTAATTATTAATTGATATTTAATTATTATGTTAAAATAGTTAAAAAATAATATGAAATTTGTTCTGGGTAAAGTGATTCCACAGAGAGAAGTAACCATTATTAGTATGCTCATAATTTAAAGGTGAGCCTTAATCATATAGATTCAGTCTTAAATTCAAATTAAGCGAGTATAAGAATATGTGTAATAGTTTGTTAGAAAAAGTACATAATTTGTAATCAAAGGGGAGAAAAAAATACTTTTGTATTATAAAGATATTAAATTACATGTAAAATTGCAAGTTCATTAAATTATCTTTCATTCTTATTAGTATCTAGGAGGTATATTTGGGAAGCACACGCACATAGATAACTTTTTGGCTGGAGCTGCTGCTGGTGTCACTGCAGTTACATTAACATATCCGTTAGATGTCATTAGAGCTAGGCTTGCTTTCCAAGTCACTGGAGAACATATTTATGGAGGAATTATACATGCGGGTGTCACGATTTTTAAAAAGGTAATTTATAAGTAAAAGAAATAATTTATAAGAAGAAATATCTTGTATTTTGTGGAAAATTTTATGATTAAGTATCTATTATTATATGAAAGGTCAGTGGCACAACCATAATTATCCGATTGTGGGATTAAAAACATTTTTTTCATACTTTATTAGCATTATGACAATATTCAGTCTAATTTTCTTCATTTTTGTTTATTTTCGGAAATATTTCAGTATTTATTTTTTAAAAAGTTTGTAATTTCTTAATATGGGAACAGCTAACTTCTGATCCCCCATAATTGCGCTACTGTGAAAAGTAATACAATTTTTTCTATATATTAAGTATATTCATTGGCGCAACTAGAATTTATTTTTTAGGGTAGCCCAGGTCCCTTAGCTTTACTAACAATATCATATGTTTAATATTATTTAATTCTAACTTGTGCCCTCAGGCGATTTTTGGGATTTCGGGTTCTGGAGCGGTTAAAAAATTAGAATTCACCAGTGTCCGAGTAACGGTCAAGAGTTTATTTCCAAAACGAGCTTCTTACAATCTGCCTCTTTTACAATTGTTTGCTCTTTTTATAATCTATTGCGTTGCGTGAGGATGACCAAAAAAGGTCGTGCTGCCCGGCGTATGTTCTGCTAGCTTGCAGAGTTTCGCTATGGGTATCTGCTGCTGATTCGGACATTCCTTAGCCGGGTGATGGTCGTACGATGACCCATATACTGGTTGCCGGGCACAAAAAACTTAATTCTAATATTGTTTTATTTATTTATTCATAATTTCATGTAATAAGATTATCATTGCGTGTTTTCAAGTTGCATTACATATTGCTTTTTGGCCAAAATATTTATTTCTATTAGGATAAGATTTTATTAGAGGATTTTAGAGGTTTAGAATTTTAGAATCTTAGAATCTTAAAATTTTTGAATACTGGAATTCCGGAATGTTGGAATTTTAAAACCATAAAATCTTATAATTTTAGAAGTTTGGAAGTTTAAAATTTTAGAACGATGAGGAGAACTTTAACCGCTCCTTAGTTATGCCAATGAATGTATAATGTACATACTAAGTTTACAGTTCTATTGAATTTTAAATGTTTTGCAAAAGCTTAGAAATGATAGATAAATTGTAAGTACATTAATGATATTTTAAGCTTACGTTTTACTTTTAAAACAGTACATGTTAAATATTATTCTAAAAAGTAAATTTAAAGAATTATCATTAGTATTAATATTATTATATTTTTAGGAAGGTGGTATCCGAGCGCTGTACAGGGGATTTTGGCCAACTATTTTTGGCATGATTCCATATGCAGGATTTTCCTTTTATTCATTCGAACAACTTAAATATTTATGTATGAAATATGCACCAGATTATTTTTGTGACAAGTGTGATAGAAATACTGGTATGATAAACACCAAGTTTTAATAATAACGTTAAAAATTTATTTTACAAAATGAATATATTTTTATTAAAGCGGTTTAAACAAATTTGTTTAATTTTAGATTATATTTTTATTATTATTGGCAATTTTAATTATTTAAAAATTTTTTTAAAATTTTTCTTTTGTGAAATGCAATAATAATTATATGCTCAACATGTTAAGCATTGTTCAAGATTAATAAAACTATGAACATGGTTACAGGTGGTTTAGTTTTAACTACATCTGCTAGATTATTATGCGGAGGTGTTGCAGGTGCTATTGCTCAAAGTTTCTCTTACCCATTGGATGTTACTAGAAGACGTATGCAGTTAGCTATGATGAATCATGCTACGCACAAATATAGGTATATATATATATATATATATATATCTTCAAATTTACAATATGAATAAAGAATATGTATTAAGAATAACTCAATTAAATGGATAATTATAACTTTTTTTTAGTACTAGTATGTTACAAACTATGAAAATGATATATAAAGAAAATGGCATTGCAAAAGGTCTGTATCGTGGAATGAGTATTAATTATTTAAGAGCAATTCCTATGGTATCAGTCAGTTTCACCACATACGAAATTATGAAACAAGTACTGAATTTAGATACAGGAATAAAATTATAATTTATTTTGCAAAGATCTGTAACTTGTAAAATAATTAATGCTGATTCATTTTGATTTTCTCATAATTATATTGTTCCAATTTTATTTTACGAAATAAGGATATTTTAATGAATTTTTGAACCTAATTAGATATATTAATGAAAATTAAAATGTATATTTAATTATTTTATAAGCATAAAAAGACATTTTTTTTGTTTTCATACAAAATTTGATTTTTATACCTCTTATTTATTTATTTTATTTAGTAATAAATGGATATGTATACATATAGTTAACAGAATTTTCAATATTTTTTATAAAAAGTGTATCAAAACGTTATCAAATGTAAAAACTGATAATTATAATATAATTGTATATTTTTATTAGCAGGATGTTAAGTAATTTTATCCGACATAGACGTGTTGTATGTGATAAATAATCAATTTAATAATAAGTTAGAAATTAAGGCACTCGAAATTTAAGTTTATAAAAGATTTATTAATAAACTAGGTATAGCCCGCTCGTCCGTCGCGTATCTAGAGCCCGTATCAAAGAATCAAAGCAACCGAAAACAGCATATCGGTGAAACAATACTAATTCAACAATAAAACTTTTTTATTTTTGCTAGATGAAAATGAAATTGTCAGGTTTTACTAATCAAAATAAGACCAGACATGATACAATTTGAAGCATATTTGGTTATTTAATAAGTGATTTTCGTTCGCCTATTGAATAAGTAAATGTGATCTGTGCGAATGATAAAATAATTTTTAACAAAAAACAAATCCGACTTCGAAATGCACTAAAAAGTGTCAAATAATTTCTATTTCATTTATAACAATATTCCATAGCTATTAATAATATCTACTTGATCGTTAAATAGGATACCAAATACATTTCAAAGTTTTTGGAGGCGGCGCAAAATTAAAAACTTTTCCTCTACTAAGATCCTAACTCGGACGTCGACAACCTATGATAAATCAGCCATTTGATAATTTCAAGTAAATAATATTCAACGGGAATTAACAAACCCATTGCGAATTAACTATACTGCAGTTCACGAGTGACTGCACTTAACTCGCGCAGCTAGTGACCTACTGTGGTCTAGGGAGATTTTTAATAGTGCGTGTGATTCCCCTTTACAGCTTGCTTCTTACTTTGCGTTCACATCATTTTTTTCTTGCGACAAATAATAGGAATTTCATTGTATCGTGAAACTTTACAATATCATCACCGGTTATCAATTATCGTATGTCATATATTTCTGTCCGCCATTTATATGGTCGCAAAGTATAATAAGAAGCAAGCTGTAGAGGGGAATAACACACGTTATTAAAAATCTCTCTAGACCTAGTGAGCGGCGGGAGCACAGCCGACTCTAACTAGCCATGCTGAACAACGTGGCAACGCCGCTCACGTGACAATCGGGAGTCCTATTTTCAAAAACAGAGTTCTGTGCTTGGAATTGTAATTAAAAGCTGTAGTAATATACACTATTTTGTGTTAATTATGTATAAACAATATATAAACGTTGCAACTATGGCAAATAGAAGTGATGTGGTAGTATAAAATTGTTATAAATGTGATATATATTTTGTGTACTCTCAAAGTAGTTTGGTGTTGTGAAGCATGATATTTGAAATATTTACAGTGGTTTCAAGAAAATTTAGGTATGAAACAAAATGGAACCATCTTTGGATCAAATTGAAACATTTAAGGGGTGAACTTTACTTTACCGGACCCAAAATTTTGGACTTTTTTTTTTTGAATCTATAGTTTTTGATGCGGAGAATCCAAAAATGCAAGTCTCAACTTTAGGAATTCAGTGGTTAAAAAGTTGTAAGCGTGTAAAGTTTGACATTTTTAGCGGATTTGTTACGTTACTGTGACGCCATATTGACTTCTTGTCCAATGAACGGTGTCGCTAGCTGTAGGCAGATTCACGTGGGTGTCGACTACTTTGGCGGGTAAATTTGATACTGTCTGAGTTAGTTAGGTGTATATTTTTTTAAAGAGAGAGAGAGAGAATTCAATTTTATGAATAATTTAAATACAACTAGTGATGGGACTCGTACCCAGCGAATAGAGTCAAATTGGCGGCCGGCGAAGGACTGGATGAGGGGGAGGGGTCGTTTTCACGATGAGGAATTTGCCGATCGCTTATGCGAATATCTGTGGCGACGGTTTTGCCGTCACAACAACATAGACCTCATGGGATCAATGATGGAAGCGATTCGGAAACAATATGTTTTTAATTAAGGTAAGCGGAAGTTTAGTTCTACGCTATGCGAGGACCAATCAGGTTATACATCTAAAGCAATATGGCGTCACAGTAACGTAGCAAATCCGCTAAAAATGTCAAACTTTACACGCTTATAACTTTTTAACCACTGAATTCCTAAAGTTGAGACTTGCATTTTCAGATTCTACGCATCAAAAACTATAGATTCAAAAAAAAAAGGTCCAAAATTTTGGGTCCGGTAAAGTAAAGTTTACCCCATTTAAGAATTGATAAACGTGTATATAATAATAACCTTGAAACAAGCGAAATTATTGGAACGAAACCAAAGAGGTTATGTGAAGTCCAAAGAGTAGTCGGGAGTCTGACGACGTTGATTGGCTAAAGCCGAGTATCCACCTGTATCAAACGCCCGTATCGTATCACCGTTCCGAACCCTTTTGAATAGGCAGACGTTGCCTCGTTGCATGCCACGGCGTGCTACGGCTCGGACAATATTTCTTCGTTTCTTGAAAGAAACTCCTATAGGCGAGAAGTTTCGATTTCCTGCATGCTGTTTCTTTATTGTAATTGTCCTAACCATATCGTGTTTGGTATCATTTTAATCAGAAAAACGTCACAAATATCTTGGTAAAAGTTTTATAAGAAAAAAATGAAAAATAACAAAGTTCAGTCATTGCATTAGTATTATCTCACTGATATATCCGATTCCAGATCATATTATCTCGAGCCTCAAGTGTCATGTTTCCACTTGACATAGCATTTCGGGCCTTCGCCTGGGTATGTTGTTTTTACGTTTCAAGTGGTCTCCGAACCTATCCTTTGAACAGCAAGAAACCGACAATTTTCGGATCGGCCCGTTCCTTCACCTCCGTATCACAGCCCAATAGAACTTTCGATACTCGGCAACGGAAAAATCTCTGGAAAATTAACATTGTCCTTTTTCAATAATCACAGAGGTTCTTATTAACATTGCTCTTTTATGTACAGCGTATCACCGAAGATAATTGATCTGTTTAAATATATTTAGACGATAAAATTTGTCTAAATTAAATTAGATTAAGTTCATAAATAATTTCATCGATTTTGAAATGAATCCAATAATACCGCAAGATTTCAAATAAATTGAAACCCAAGTGACGGTACGAAACGCTATGTCAAGTGCAAATGTATAAACCTTTCCTTCGATGCAACGGCAAAGAATCGACAAATTTTTCGGATGGGTCCGTTGCCTCCGTTCCTTTGGAACGGCACGCAGCAAAACGAAACTCCTCGCCTGTAGTGGCCCAGTCTTATTGCCGAACCGTTTCTATCAAGAAACGAAGAAATATTGTCCGAGCCGTAGCACGCCGTGGCATGCAACGAGGCAACGTCTGCCTATTCGAAAGGGTTCGGAACGGTGATACGATACGGACGTTTGATACAGGTGGATACTCGGCTTAAGAGTCTGGGAGTCCGGGAGGCAGATAGAGTAGACCGGACTCACGCGGTGTTGCCATTTTTACTTCAGCACGGCTAGTACTAGAGTCGGCTGTGGCGCGAGTTAAGTATGGTCTCTTGTGAACTGCAGTATAGTACATCAGGAGGGCTGCTAATTTCTCATACAATCGTTACAATTACAAATGTTTTCAGCCGGACCTATAATTTTTCTCTTACGACTTATTAATTACCAAGTTTGCCATACCGCAATCAAATCGTTATTGGCAGCATCGTTTGTTCGGGTATTTTTAATTTTGCGCCGCCTCCGAAAACTTTGAAATGTATTTGGTATCCTATTTAACGATTAAGTAGATATTATTAATAGCTATGGAATATTGGTATTGTTGTGTGTCCGTCGCGGAATAAAGGAATATTTTAGGTGCAGGTGTGACACTCCGTGGAGCGCGGAGGCGCTCCGCTCGCAAGGCGCGGAAATAAAACTATTATTTCGCTTTACTAAGCTTTAATGTTTTAAAAGTTTTATTTAAACTGCCCTTTTAACTTTGAAATTGTAACCCTTTGAAAAGTGCTGCTTGAGAACGACTTGTCTGTAACGAGTGACAAAATCATTCTAACGATTCTGCGCTTGGCGGAGGAGATCTTCGCGCGTTGTCGGTCGATGCCCCTTCCTTGGTGGGATCCTCCCTCAGGATCATCCCTCGTCCAATGGTGGAGGAGTCCACCCCGTCTCGTGTGGGCCCTTTCTCCTGGCTGTGGTCCACCCTCAGGCGCGTGGAAATGGAGGCGCTCCGCCAAGACGCTAAAACGTTGCAGCGCACATGTGCTACAAGAAAGCGTGGGACCCAGAGAAATTAGGAAACGACAAGACCTTGTACTTGCCAAAGCAACTCTTGAGGAAATTTACGACCCTCTCAGAGTGCATGAATAGACAAGATATCGAAAAAGACTTCGTAACTTTTAAGGACCTTCGTGACTTGGTCAAAAACAACGAATTCGATATGCTCTATCATAAGTTAATCTTTCAGGAATTTTAGAAGTGAAACTATCCCATTCTCTGGATTTCCGGCCTTCTCTCAGCTCGATCACCCACGTCGAGGGGTTTACAATTTAGGCTTTGTCTATTTATATAAGTGTACATACACGCAGATGGTGTTTAAATTTCGCTCCTGATTTATAACCGTCGATACAAAAGGTCCTCGACTGATATTCGAGACATATCGATACTACAGACTATCGATAAATATTCCCATGGCAGTGTCGTCATACCACTCTAAACATAATCATGTGATAACATTTCACGTTACAATCATATATTTGTAAATCACAAACGATTTCCAATCAATTACAGTTATCAGTTATCACAAAATCTGTTTATTATAAAAAATTACTAAAAAGTTTCGGCTCACATCATGACTGAAATAAAATTGCTAATTACAAAAGAAATATTTGTCACAAACGTTAAAAATAGACTCATAATCAATCACAAACGAAATACACTAAGAAAAATTAAAAATAATCATATTTTATTATTCCTTCCGGCTAGCTTCATGTAGGTCTCGCAACAACATCACATGATATCTCTAGTCAAAATGCCACTTACGTATGTGCACGCAGCCTCCTAGTGAGAAAAAATTCCACGACTCTTCCTTTCCCGCCAATAACGATAAATTTGCCTCCTTCACCCATATTGAGACTTCGGCTGCGTTCATATACAGTGTGATTCTCTCGGCGCGCAACATAATAGCCGTCCCGCACAATGGAACCCTGCGGTTGTTGCGGGTAAAGAGACCCAGGGGCCATATCGCCGGACCCAAGACTGCTCTGTGTGTATTTATGGCTGAGACGAAGACAAGAAACGGAACAGCAGGGGTTCCATTGTGCGGCACGGCTATTGTGTTGCGCGCTGAGAGAATCACACTGTATACAGGGTGTCCAACGACTACGTCAACAACCGAAGAGGGATGATTAACAAGGTGATTCTAAACAACTTTTTCCTTTGCCAAAATGTTGATTAAGGCTTCGTTTTCGAGTTATTATCAAAAAACACTGGCCAATCAGAACGCGTCTTTAGCGCGGGCTGAACTACGAGTGTTGAGTTTGCTCTGCGTTCAAGCCGTGGTCGTGCTCCCGTGGTTCGGTTTGCGCTAAAGGCGCGCTCTGATTGGCCAGTGTTTTTTGTTAATAACTCGAAAACGAAGCCTTAATCAACATTTTGGCAAAGGATAAAGTTGTTTAGAATCACCTTGTCAATCATTCCTCTTCGGTTGTTGACGTAGTCGTTGGACACCCTGTATATGTTCGGATTTGCGTCTCGAGCACCCCAGCGAGCAAACACGCGACTCGGGAGAGAGTCTAGCAATGTTATGCACGTGGGTGCTGAATACCTTGTGTAGAGGGTTGAAACACAAATGAACAACACAAAAATGATTATGTAGATAAGCACAAAACTTTATTGTAAAAATGAAATAAACTAGTAAACGATGATGTGTAAAAAGGAATGTAATAAAAAGAGTGTACGTAGAGCTCGGCGGAGTGATGGCAAGCGCATCGACTTCTCGCAGGGTAGCGTAGACAAAGAGTGAAGTGAAAGCGAAAAAGCGGAAAAGCGCGCGTTCTTAGGGGGTGAGAACGGTGCGTACGCAAAACGTTAGAAGGTCGCACGCGCTACGAGGATTTGTTTCCGCTCATGGTACTGCCGCCTGCCGGACGGCAGAGCAGGCTCCATGGACTGTGGCGTCTGAGACGAGGGTGCCACATATATGTACATACGTGTGCATACGTCCATATTGTCGTTCATATGTGCAATTTTATTTTTGTGAGCGCTTCGAATTACTGGTTTATGATTCTTGTAATTCTTCATATAGTGAATGATTGAAAATATAAAAATTACACGAATCAAATCTGATAATGAGATTCGAAGCCTTCGATTTAATTCTCATTCGAATATTATTCAACATATTTGTGTATGAACACGTATAAATTTATTTTCTCAAAAAACCCGCTTCTTGATCATATAACGCAACAGGCAATCCGCCGTGATCCGCCGGTGCCCGCCGGCAAAGAGGAAGATTATACCTATTCTTTGCCGCCGGTTTTAAGAAAAGAAATGTTTCCGTCCTCTGATTCATGTTTAAAATTGAAAAATATATAAATACTTCTATTGTAAAGTATAACCTATAATATACAAAAATGGAGAAAAATGATCAAAGAGACATTTGTGTAAAATTGTTACTACAAATAGAAGGTGATTAAACATGAAAGTTTTATATTAAGCTCTTTATTAATTCTGTTTGGTTAATTTTTTATTTATTTTGCCACAGAAAACAAAACTTCACCCGTATTTGAAACAGCAATTAGTACATTACAACATTATGCAGCTACACAAGGATTCGAAGAAGAAGACTTTGAGTTATTAGCTGGTATTATTGTAAAAATTAATACGAGTTAGTATATTTTCAATAATATTATAAATTAATACATTTGTATAACTAATGTAGGCTAGATGCCTTAGCTTTACTAAAAGCATCAAGTGTCTAATATCGCTTAATTGTAACTTAATTTTAGTATTGCTTAATTTTTTTTATTCATAATTTGATGTAATAAGAATATTATTGTGTGTTTGGTTCCTAATTGCTTTACTTAGTGTACTTTGGTCAAAATATGCATTTCTATTGAAATAAGATTTTACAGGAAAATTTCAGTTTTAGAGTTTTAAAATCTTAGAATCCTAGAATTTTAGAATTTTAAGATTTTAGTTTGGTAAGGGCAGCTGCTCCCGACCCTTACCCAGTTACTCCAATGTATTAATAAATGGTTATCCTTTAAGAAAACATATTTATGGAATTATAAGTTAAAATTAATTTGTTTACAGGTGCTACTAGAATGGTGTCTTTGACAAAATGTTTAGTTCCAAAATTTAAAGTATCTAATAAGGCATTTAAAAAGATTACCTCTTGGTTCTTATCGTCAGTGGATAAATTGCCTATTACTGTATCAATTAGCATTACACAGTGGATAATTGGTAATATTACACTTTATTATGATATTGATTACATAAAAAAAGTATGTATTAATTGTGTATGTTTTTAGGTTTATGGGACCATCACTTAGTCGATAAAAAAGTTGTAAATATATATTATAGTGTATTTTTTTGTGTGATGTTAAAAAAAGAAAAATTGGTAAGTGTATCTTCTAAATTCTAAATATTCTGACTGATAAATGAAATTATAATTACATTGTTATTATCATTGTAGGAAAAGCATCTAGCACGTTTGGTGTATGTATTATCAAAACCTGAAGATGTAACACGTAAAAATGTGTGTCGCTTATTAGCTCTGCGTAAAACACATTCAAAACCTAGAACACACATTATTGTTATACTGTCGTAAGTACAGTATGATTATAAAATAAAATATTTAAATGAAAATCTAACAGGAAACATATTTTAGATTATTCAAGGCTTACAAACCTGAATTGGTTCCTGAAAGTATTAATTCTGTAAATGTAGAGAGTGTGTGGAAACCACTACCCGAAGTTTTACAAGAAATATTTCAAAATGCAAAAGCGCGAGTAGATCTTAGATATCAGCAAACATCTGACATAGATGAGAAATGTTTTAATTGGAATACGTTTGAGGTGAAAACAAAAAGACAGAAAACTACACAAGTTCTGTTACCATCTGTGGGATATTTTCAAATTGGTTCTAGTATTTTCAAAGAAAAAGAAACGACATCCATTTTTGATATTTCCAGGTAAATATAAATAAATGATCACATTGATGTCCTAAATAATTCTGATTTACTGAATAATATATTTCAGCACAGAGGAATTGGGAAAATCACATTTAAACATAGAATTGCCATGTAATGCTGTATCTCTGTTAGCTAATACAGCTGGACACCATCTTCTTACATATGCTGATTTCCACTATCAAAGTAGATTCTCTTATAATCTTTATAATACTTTAATAAGAGGTATGCACTAACATTCTAAATAACTTCTGATGTATTTTAACTAAATATTAAATTTCATTCTTTTTTAGCATTTATATTGGAAAATGAGAAATTTTCTGAAGAAGAAATTAATAAATTACTTGACATGACTATAGAATTTTCACGATACATGCAACAAGGTATACTTGTTGTTAATCGTTTCCTTGATGAATACCTTTATTTCAACACTGGAGAGTATCAATCAAAGTTATTGGCTCTAATGGAATGGATGACTACAGTATCTATTAGTGGTATATATTATTAATAACCCACTAATCATGAACGTTTCCTTTACTAAAGTAATTGATATTATAAAGACTAATACTTTCAGATTTACAGGACAAAGTATTAATACATGTACAAAATATGTTTTATGAATCAACAATAGAAACAAAGTGTGAAATTATCAGAATGTTGAAAAAGTTGATCACAAACTTGGTATGTAACTTTCAACGTATAAGCATTAATAATATTCAAAATAAAATTAATTTATACTAAAAAATCCTAAAATTTCAAAATTCTATTATTCTAGAATTCCAAAATTCCAAATAATATACTGTTTTTTGCAGTTTGTTGCTCAAGGATTTGAAGAATGTGATCACACAATACCTGCACCATTTTTAGGTCAACGTCCAGTAGACAAGTTAGAAGATATTCTTCCTATTCTTACAAAATTCGCTCAAAATATTATTATATCTGGTTTAAATATACATAATTACAATGGTATATTACTTGTAGAAGCATTGTCATTTTATAACGAGGTATGTAATAAAATACAATGTAATATAAATTAACATAATGGAATATTATTAATTAAATTTTTTATTAGATTTGTACACTGGAAATGCGAAGTTGCTTGCTTTGTTTTACAGTAGCACCTGCTGCAGTAATTTATGGAGGTTTCCTTACCAAAAATTGTACAATTTTATCAAAGACATGCCAGTTACTATTAAAGTATGTGTTTATGCTACAAATTTATTTTTATAGATTCTGTTCTTTACTTTCAGTATTTTATTATAGGTATCGTAGTATGACTTTAAAATTTGAACATCGTAAATTACCAAGTTCTTTAAAAAAAAAAATTCAAAATATATCTATTTATGCTCAATCTATTATTGAAGCCCTATGGTTTGATGAGGTACGTAAACACAGTGGTAAATATTACCTATAAATAGTGAATTATTTATAAATGACGCGTTATAAAAAATTGAAAATCAATAAGGATTTTTTAATGTGAAATTTTCACTATAGTTGAAAAAATTAACAAATTTACGTCGGTTTTAAAATAATTAATTCAAAGTTTATAATTTTTCTGACTTTCTTTTTAAGGATCATATTTTTATTCAAATATTTTATTTTATTTTCAGTCGATTACAGAAAGAGATAAATTATATTTTTTTCAAAATATACCAGATAATGTGATAAAATATATCAGCTATGATGACTTTAAGAGTCTTTTAAATATTAGTAATCACTATAGCATTTTACCTTACAAGTGTACACTAAAAAAAACAGGACTTAACATAAATACAAAACAGGTAAGAAATAATACATCTATCTAATAACATTTTAAAAATTAGATGATATGAAATTATTTTCTAATTTTCAATAGTAAATTTCAAATGATAAAAATTATGTTCTAATGATAATTACATCTTTTTCAGGATGCTAAATGTATAGCTATCTATTACTACCCATTTGTGAATGAATTTCTTGATATATTTCAGAGTTAACTCCTATGACAATAAATGAGTTTTAACCGTTTGAGGTTCTATTTTATTTTAATAGGTCCAATGTCCAGTCGGCCTTGACAACAATTCTATTTTTCTTTAATTTCTTTGATATAGGCGTGGACCTACCAGAGTACAATATAAACATAATTATGGAGCACAAAGAGTTGAATATAATAAATAATTTAAAATATTTCTGATGCAGAACAGATATGTTTAGGAAGAAATGAATAGGTCATTATTTTATTATTTCAAAAAAATTGTTTGTTACATACGTAACTACTGTTTATAGTTTTATAATTTTTTGTTTTAGTGACTGGTTGCCAATTTAATTTATTTTTACCGTGAAATCTTACTTATGCTTATGCATTTTAATAAACTTCGCCTTTAACATTACGCCTTCTTAATTAATATTTTTAATTTAAATATTACAGTTACTTTGACTCTCAATAAGAGATCGGGTAAACTTTACTTTACCGGACCCAAAATTTTGGACCTTTTTTTTTTTGAATCTATAGTTTTTGATGCGTAGAATCTGAAAATGCAAGTCTCAACTTTAGGAATTCAGTGGTTAAAAAGTTATAAGCGTGTAAAGTTTGACATTTTTAGCGGATTTGCTACGTTACTGTGACGCCATATTGCTTTAGATGTATAACCTGATTGGTCCTCGCATAGCGTAGAACTAAACTTCCGCTTACCTTAATTAAAAACATATTGTTTCCGAATCGCTTCCATCATTGATCCCATGACGTCTATGTTGTTGTGACGGCAAAACCGTCGCCACAGATATTCGCATAAGCGATCGGCAAATTCCTCATCGTGAAAACGACCCCTCCCCCTCATCCAGTCCTTCGCCGGCCGCCAATTTGACTCTATTCGCTGGGTACGAGTCCCATCACTAGTTGTATTTAAATTATTCATAAAATTGAATTCTCTCTCTCTCTCTTTAAAAAAATATACACCTAACTAACTCAGACAGTATCAAATTTACCCGCCAAAGTAGTCGACACCCACGTGAATCTGCCTACAGCTAGCGACACCGTTCATTGGACAAGAAGTCAATATGGCGTCACAGTAACGTAACAAATCCGCTAAAAATGTCAAACTTTACACGCTTACAACTTTTTAACCACTGAATTCCTAAAGTTGAGACTTGCATTTTTGGATTCTCCGCATCAAAAACTATAGATTCAAAAAAAAAAAGTCCAAAATTTTGGATCCGGTAAAGTAAAGTTCACCCCTTAAATGTTTCAATTTGATCCAAAGATGGTTCCATTTTGCTTCATACCTAAATTTTCTTGAAACCACTGTAAATATTTCAAATATCATGCTTCACAACACCAAACTACTTTGAGAGTACACAAAATATATATCACATTTATAACAATTTTATACTACCACATCACTTCTATTTGCCATAGTTGCAACGTTTATATATTGTTTATACATAATTAACACAAAATAGTGTATATTACTACAGCTTTTAATTAAAAAAGACGTTAATTACAATTCCAAGCACAGGACTCTGTTTTTGAAAATAGGACTCCCGATTGTCACGTGAGCGGCGTTGCCACGTTGTTCAGCATGGCTAGGCGCTAATCAGGGGTCGGAAACTCTCAGTGCTCTCATTGTCAGTGATTTTGTTGGCTTTTCAGTTTTAGTTCCCTGATGACGGACAGTACGTAGATAGCGCTACTACGACGACAATCAGCGCCGCCTACATTGGCGTTGATTGGCGTTATTTGGCGTGGTTTGGCTGGGCTTGGCGTCATAGCGTCATAGCTGGTCATAGCGTCCGTTTTGGTGGAATCCAAATAATTAATAATTATTAATTTATTTTCGTATCCCTGCAGGTGGCTGCTTTAAATCACAGATTTATGATTTAAAGATAAGAAATCGGCTAAATCATAAATCTCTGATTTTTAGCAGTCACTTTATGACTATCCAGAATTTAGTATTCTATATATATACATATATATATCAGTCTGAGAAGTACTATATATATCAGAGACATATATAGTATACTTATATATATATGTATGTCTACTTTTAGTATAGTCGTGACGGGTGGTTAGTAGATGGCGCTACAGTCAATGTTATGTAACGTGAAACGTTATCACGTGAATATGTTTAGAGTGGTGTGGCGACACTGCCATGGGAATATTTATCGATAGTCTATTGTATCGATATGCTTGGATGTTCTTCGAGGACCTTTTGTATCGATGGTCATAAATTAAGAGCGAATTTCAAACATCGTCTGTGCGTACGCTTATACAGGGAGATTCTCTCGGCGCGCAACACAATAGCCGCCCCGCACAATGGAACTCTGCTGTGTTTGCGGGCAAATAGCTCAGGAGGTCAAGTCGCCGGACCCAAGACTGCTCTGTGTGTTTTGGGTCCGGCGACTTGACCTCCTAGGCTTTTTGCCCGCAAACACAGCAGGGTTCCATTGTGCGGGGCTGTTATTGTGATGCGCGCCGAGAGAATTTCCCTGTATAAATAGACAAAGAGTAAATTGTAAATCCCTCGACGTGGGTGATTGAGCTGAGAGGAAGCCGGAAATCCAGAGAATGGAATAGTTTCACTTCGAAAATTCCTAAAAGACTAATTTATGATAGACCATAGCCAATTCGTTGTTTTCGACCAAGTCACGAACGGTCCTTAAAAACTACGAAGTCTTTTTTGATATCCTGTCTATTCATGCACTCTGAGAGGGTCGTAAATTTCCTCAAGAGTTGCTTTGGCAAGTACAAGGTCTTGTCGTTTCCTAATTTCTCTGGGTCCCACGCTTTCTCGTAGCACATGTGCGCTGCAACGTTCTAGCGTCTTGGCGGAGCGCCTCCACTTCCACGCGCCTGAGGGTGGACCACAGCCAGGAGAAGGGGCCCACACGAGACGGGGTGGACTCCTCCACCATTGGACGAGGGATGATCCTGAGGGAGGATCCAGGATCCACCAAGGAAGGGGCATCGACCGACAACGCGCGAAGATCTCCTCCGCCAAGCGTAGAATCGTTAGAATGATTTTGTCGCTCGATTTAGACAAGTCGTTCTCACGCAGCAATTTAAAGCATTGTAAACACAAAGTTGAAGATCAGCCTTAAATTGAACTCTAAATATTAAAGTACAGTAAACAGGAATAACAGTTTATATTTTTCATTTCCGCGCCTTGCGAGCGGAGCGCCTCCGCGCTCCACGGATTATCGTATCTACGCCTTTAATTCCCCAAATATCCCTATCTTCCGCGAGCGGACACGCAACAGTTAGACTTCTTGTAGGGGGGAATTTCCGACCCCTGGCGCTAATTGAGGGCTCGTCGTCGCCGCTGCGACGGGACCGTCGCAGAGAATTTTTGGAGAGGGGATTGGCCGGTGATCGGGATCGGTAGGGCTGACGGGTTCGGCGATGCTGGCTACGGGCTGAGGGTCCTCGGGCCCGACGGTAGATGGTCCCACGGTGTCCTTTTGTGGGGGGCTGAAGGGTCGTCGTCGACATCGGGACGGGGTCCTCCGGGAGTTGAGGTTGCAGCATCGTTGTCCAGTCTTTCCGTTGCCCCTACTGGCCCAATACCGGCGGGTGGGAGAAAGGGATACGGGTTAGGAAAGGGGTATTAAGGTACAAGGCACGTGGTGGGCGAAAATCTGGATTATTGTAACGGGGGGGCACTCGTGCCACCATGTTACAATGTATAAAATTGTTATTTATGCAAAGTTTTGAATATGTATAAAGTAAAGTTATGATAAAATAAGTAGAAAATAAACTAATTTAAATTAATTGATTATGTTTTATTTTCTCTGATTTACATACAAATTTTCATTTACAGTTTATGTAACAGTCTTTAGTACGTATCTGTCTAATGAAAAGTTACATATAAATTATTATGAGCGTCTATCATGAAGTGAACTCATAACTTACAAACTATATACTTCCTTTTTTTATACATTTTTATATTTGTCTTACTTAATTCATGCATTAATATTTAGTGTATACATTGCAATAGATTGAAAAATTTTTATTTTCGTTTAAAAATAGTCGTTCAATAATACATTATACTGTACTATCTTATTTGCAAAAACTGTGAATGTGAACATCTCTTAAATTTATTTATCATTTGTAATGTTCCATTGAACGTATCTAAATTCATATTGCTTCTAGAAGAGGCCATGCTATTAATGTAATATTTTTCTACGAACAGATACACTTTTATAGCTGTTATATTATAATATATGTTATTACTATTAATATTCTATGAAATTTGTAATAAATGATTTTAAAATAAAGCACTAAAATAAATTGTGGATGATTTTGAAAAAACATGCAGTGAGTATATTTTTAATAATTATTAATGTAATTCAGTAACTCGCTACTATGACACTGAATTAAATTAAATGTTTATTATATAAATATTAACATAAACGGTACAATACCATTACTAAATTAATATAATACTATTATTTTTCTACAATGTCCTTTTCACTCTAAAATGATACTGCTATATGATACTGTACTATCATACTAATAAGAACGATTTCAATATTTTGATGCATAATTATAACACCGAGAAATTAGTATCTCTAGCAATCATAATCTGTTGTAAGATATCTATACTTTTAGTGTGTCGTTCGTATTCTCTAAAGCATTTTACTTAATATCATAACATTTGTACTTCTTAATAATTTGTCACATTAAATAAAAAATTAACCATGTTCACATAATTTTTAAATAACCAGATGCGCAAGTGTATGTATGTCAAAATCAAAATTTACTGTTGACACATTCTTTGTTTATCTTAGGCGTAGAAATTAATTCGGTGCTTGCCTTTGTTTAAGTGAAGATTTATTTTTAAAAAGTCATAGTAATTATTGAAATAATCATTATCATTATCATATTCTCGCGCCCCTTTTCAAATCCATAGAAGCGCAGGAAAATATTCAAATTTAAAATAGTAATTAAAATGGCGTAATTTTTAAAGAATCGAATTAATTTGTATACCTAATCATATATATATAATAATAATAATTATTATTATATATATAGTATACATAAAAGAATTGACAGAGAATGTTCACCTCTACCAAAATTTCTAAGGCATTTATTTTCATGTAATTTCACTTGCGAATATTTTGAAAAATTGAATAGTGTAATTAAATTTAATCAATCTTGAGCAATGTATTCATATTACTTATGCTATTTTAAGTTTTAATATGCTTTTATGAACTGTCTTTGGTGTACATAGGTTTTTAGACTAGAAGATAGAAGTATCGAAAAGCCTGGAATGTGAAATTCTATTTAGAAACAATAATGTACATTGAATTTAGCAAATTTGGTAAAAGTGCACATTATTTTACACATGTATTTCAGTTCTCTATTACAATAATTACAGCAGTATAACAGTTACAATAATTCGTTTCAGGTAAATAGAATGTGCAACACAAAACAAGAATTTGATATTAAAAATATACACATCAAAGGTTCAATAAAAAATCTAAACATTTACATTTATAGCAATAAATGTTTGATATTTATACTGCATCTGTTACCCTTAAATACGGAGCCGAACAGTACAGTATAAAGATAGCAGTTAAATTATAAATTATTGTTAAGAAAAATTTATTGTAAATATATAATGTTACATTAATAAACCATAATAATATCTTATTGTCATGAATTCGATAAAATCATTGAAGCTATTATGTCCCTTTTAATAAAACTATTCAAACAGCATTACTTAGAGTTTGCGATTGGCAGTTATGCACTGAACAGTAATAAACAGTGATTTATTTGGAACTTAATTTAAATTATATTTAATACTAATAAAATCACTGCAGTTCCATATTGACATTAAGTTGAATTTGAATACAAATTCTGTACAAAACTTTTAATGAGTAACTTAAAGAAAAAAAATAATGTATCGTATCAAAAAGGAAATAATTTTCTTATTAATATCACTGATTGTATCTCAGAAAAAATCCAACTGGCAGTTATACGACTGAAGAAAATGTGTAAAGAACCATGTAAAAATAATGATTGTTTATTTGAAATATAGCAAATAAGGTCTTTCATTTGAAAATGATATGATTATATTAGCTTTTATTTCATATAAAACATAAATACTTCTGTACTCCATGCATACAATCGTACATCAATGGTATTATAAGGAATTTTCTGCACTTAAAGTTATTATCACAATATTCCGTTTTCATGATATAATAACATAAGAAAATATCTTTTGCAGTATTTCAAGTTTATAATGTGCGTTATGATTGGTTAACTACAAATGTTTGTTTAGAAAAAGTGTTATGTCACTGAATTTGTTCAATAATTTCATCAAACAAATTTAAAGTTTATGGAACAATGCCAGAAACTTGTACGGTGCTACTCATGAAAAAATGTTACATTAACAAATTTGATTGTAATTAAAAAAATAGTAGACCATATAGTTTATGTACAAAATGAATTGATAACTTAATTTTTTATCAGACTTTAATTGTAGGTTTTAAATGCAGCTTTCTAAAAAAGATTTACATAAGCTAAAATGAGAACTTCAAATAAAAATTAAACAATGATTGTATTTTATGGAAAAAGAGAAATCATTACATTTATAAATGCTAAGAATAAATACTTTTTTAAATACTTTATTCATCTGAATAATATTTCTTTGAAACTCTTGAAACCAATTAAATCAATTACAAAAATGTATTGAATTTTACATACTGAATGCATTTAAAACTGATTGAAAAAATGATGAATAAATAAATATATATAAATAATAGTAATTGATAATGCGGCGGTCTGACATTATTACCATCGTTTAAAATAATAATTTTTATCCGTTTAGTAATATTTACTGTATATGATAATTAACCAAATTCAAATCCTGAATTTTTGCATTGAATACATTAAAGGCAGTGACTATAGCTTTTTCGTAACAAATTTGTTTAATGTACAAGTAATAAACCATAAGAGAATTAAACTAAGTTTAGTGCACGAATAATATTTTGTATGGCACGAGGTACAGATTAATATTTATTATGATATCAAAAGATATTGCCAATATCTTTTCTATGTACACACTGTTGTGATAGGAAAAAAGATCATTTTAATAATGTTTACGATTAGTAACAATGATAAAGTACGCATTTTACTTAGTGATCTTTGAGAAGTATATAACTGATTCTATACTGAGTCATCTGATCTCAACTCGATTTATTTACAAATGACTTACGAAAAATTCACTCTACTATACTTAAACGATATACTTAAATGATTAGAAAATAGTCGAAAAACGTTGTTCTTACATTACACCGTTTGTATAAAATTTTGTTTGATATATAATATTAGCAATTTTTTATTGTAGAACAGAATTTAAAAATAACCATGTGTCAGTATAGCTTCTCATATTTAATTGTTGATAAAGTATTTTTCAAACTACAATGTGTACCAATAAGAAAAATGACATGATTCAAATGCACTTATCATCACGAGGATACTGCAAGTGATAAATAAATAAGTGAATAAGATCTTATATGTGTTGATGATTAAAGTAAAAAATGATAAGTAATGCGTTACCGAAATCTACTCTATTTCCTAAACCTTTGTTGCTACACCCAAAACATAAAGTGTAATGTTTCGTTTCATTACAATTTATGATTTGTATCAAGCATACTTTATACTAACATACTAATATACTATAACAAAAAACAAGAGATTTAACTGACCAACTGTAATAATTAAAATTCAATTTTGAAGCTAATCTGTACAGAGCTATGATTATGAATAATAAAACCACATCTTAGGACACTAGCGATCAGGCCTGTGTAATTTTCCCATAATTATTAATTAAATTGAATATTACGTCTTATGTTGACAATGTAAATAGACATGAAACATAATACTATTTTGAAGGAACATTCAACGTTAAATTACATTGATAACTTTCAAATAAATACAATTTTTTCAGTCTATTGTTAGCATAACAGGTCCTAACGTATAATTTTGAAATTAATATATCAAATGAGAACTCTTTCGTATTTAGCATAGATCACAAAAGATTATAAAATGTTTCATGTCCACTCTAACATGTCACTACGAAACAAAAATTAATTGTTATAATAAAGAAAGTTTTCAGTTTCTTAGATGTCACTTTGATCTCTTTATCTCAAATTTTGAACATCCATCTTTGGCACAGTATGTTAATTAAGCAATAATAGGTTATACCTATGAGTAAGAAGTAAAAGAAAGGACAGCAAGAACATACATGATGCTTTCGTTACTGCCAAAATACTTCAGGACATAATCTATCAATTGTACATAACATAACAAAAAACTTAAGAAGCATGTATCACCTCGTTACCTACATTATAAAGGAGTATAATTACAAACAGGTTCTGTTTAAAACTGTTTTTAATTATTTAAATAATCTAAGTTCCGTCAAAAGAATAATATGAAATGAAAAGATGAAAAGTTCAAACAAAAGTTGAAAAAAGAATTGCTTCCTAAACAAAATGATTACGTGTTTAACATTGTTTTTTACATCTAACATTTATATGTACATAGATACATGCATGCACATATATGAATATATCTATGTACTTATGTATGTATTATCATTAACGAAAGTAAATTATAACAATATTGTGTTACGATGATGAAATTCAGTTCAGTTGATTTAATGTTAGCGCAACTATAATTAAAGTACTTATGCATACTTATTTGTCTCTAGCACTCACACATTGTTTTTTCACAAAGAGAAAACGAATCTTTCACTTCACTCTTTATAATAACACTTTTGTACACAAAGCAGTATCTATTTTTTCAAGAACAAGATATAACAGTTTCACAATTAACAGAAGAGCAGCAACAAAGTAAGCAGCTCAGTCCCAACTGGCATCACTCTCAACCTCTTCTTCTTCCTCGTCTTCTTCATCCGAAAACATCGTATCATATATATACTCTGGATCATTTAGGAACTTATCACGATTTCTTTTATTTAGTCCCGATTTTCGCTTTTTTGTAGTTAAGGCAAGTTCGTCTTCTGCTGTTCTTTCCTTACGAAATTCATAGACTAGTGGATAAATATATTCGATTGCTGCTTGAACAGCAGCAACATTAGGAGCTGTAACATTTAATGAAATAAAATGACTAACGATGAAAATAATTTTTATTTTTTCATGAAAATTAGAATGAATCATGTTACAAACCTGTTACAGTGACGCTACCTGTAGAAAATATTTTCAGTGTAGCTTTTGGTTCTTTTAACTTATACGTAACACCAGGATGTAATTCTGGTTCGTAACTAAATAAAATATAGATTAAGTATTAATAAATACAAGCGTAGTATAGTACACAAAAATATATTACTTACTCTGCATTTTCTTTATGGTACAATGAAAATGATGTTATCTTGATTGCAAATGGCATGCAACATGTACCTAATACATTAACTACTCTATAATTATTAAATCGCACTTTAAATCCAAGTTTCTGAAGTGAACGAGCAAATCGACGAGCTGCTATCTTTGCTTGAACTTCACTAGTCGCACCAGTACATGTCACTTTACCAGAAGACCATATAGAAGCAGTGGTATAAGGTCTCCTCAGTTTCATAGTTATCATCTATAACAGGTATAAATGTACAAAAAACACTGACTATAATTATTTATTGAAAATAAAGTATTTTCCTTGATGCAAAATAAAATAAACATTACAGTAATTTTAGACCTTTAGAACAAAATTACAATTTTAATATATTTAATACTTTTTAATATTTCTATTTTAATATGGAAAAAATTTATTTTATATCAAGATAAATACAGTACATTGAAATGTTATAGAATACATTAATAAATCTTAAATAATATAAAAATGAAGTTACAATTAGAAATTGTTTTCATTTATTGCTAAATTATTATAATTTGATGATTACGAAAAAATTCAGAATATATATATCATAAGTGTATTTGAATCATTTTTAATAAAGAATTTTACATTTCTTTTTCTCTTTAATTGTTCTTTTCTTGTTTATTATAATTTTATGCTGAATTATTAAAACAATATAAAATGATCCTAGTAACTTGGCCAGACTCTATTGTAAGTGGAGAAGAAACAAATTGCATAGTTGAATATGGTCTAAATTCAATTGCGGTGCCTTTTAAAGAGAAATTATATAATTTCTTTTACAATAAATAAATCCCTTAAGATATTACATATAGTCATTAAAACTCATTAGTTGTTTTATTTAAGTGAATAATTTAAAACAGAAAACTATTGCTTTTTAAGTATATAACAATTAAGCAGTGTAATAAAAGACATAAATGTTTAAAATGTAACGATGGGACATTTGAGTATTTATTGTAACAATAATCTTTCAAGGTGCACTTTACAAATATACAGATAAACCTGTGAAAAGATGCCATACAGAAACAGAGCTCACCAAATTATGCAAATTTTCATCTTCAGTTACAACAGAAATTTAGTCTGACCCAGTTAGTAGAATCACCATATAAATGCGAAGTGGTGATGTGTTTATTTGCAATTATATTACAAAAAACCATTGTATATAATAGTTGTATTATGTAATTTAATAATTTTATTGTATTATATAACTAAAAGTTATATTATATATTCGAAGGAAAATGTTATATGATGAATGGGTAGAGGAATAAAGCAAATTTAAAATCAATATAATTCTTTTACTAATATTTCATCAGGTAAAATCATAAGTCCTTAATAAACGCATTCTTCATGAGATACTTTATGGTCTTTGAGTTCTGACAGAATAAGGACAAAATCACAATATCTGCTTTTGCATTTCTCATATTCAAAAATTAAATTATTAGAATAAGATTGACCTTGAAATCTTCTATGTACCTCCAATGATACCAAAATTGCTATCATAACGGTAAATAACATTTTCCTGCATTATATTTATTGATAAATTAGGTACGTACAAACATCTATATTTAATATTATATTAATAAAAAGAAATCGCCAAGTTATTGCTAAACATACCCCATTTTCTCTTCTGTATTCCACGTTCGATCCATTGAGTGCAATTTCTCGTAAATTTAAATGACACCTAACACTAAAGCTGCAAACTACATTATTGATAACAATATCCAATTCACGAGGTTCTTGTTCAGGGGTATCCATGTATGGCTGAATCTGTCTATCAAATAGTCTTCCATCTTGTTCATCTTTGCATATGTCTGTATTGTCTAAATTATTTACATCTTCTACATGATTTATTGATGAATTTGTTAAAGGTTTCACGCCATTCTTCTGAATAGCAGTTGCCATAATATATATCTGAAAACATTAAAAATTATCCTCGTAATTTTATACAGAATTCAATTTATATATGAAACTTTATAGAATTATATTATTAAACATAATACATTTCATTGTTATTCAAAAATATGAATAATCAAAATCGTATTTAAATACTTAATTTGAAACAATAAATCCCAATTAATAAGGTTGTAACTTAATTTTGGATGTCGTTTTGAGTTAAAATTTTCTTTTTTAATTATCAACTCTTTGTTTATATCGTTTATTCAGAACTGAAAAATTTGTTAATGTGGATAAAAATGATCACTGAAAAATATCAACATTTAGGAAAAGAATGATAATTTGTATAACAGAAAATAAGTTTTGTATTTTTCCACGTCAAAATTAAACTAATATATAATAGTTTGTATAAAATATTCAGAAAATGATTTAAGATATTACATGACATTACTATAACATGAATAATGTACATTAAACGTATAATTACATTTTCAACTGTGCGTCTATATTTATGTAAAGAAACAATAATTTTTAGAGTTAATTTAAATAAACATTTTCTTCGAAGTAATTTTAAAATTATTAATATCGAAAAATTGTGGAAGTGCGCAAACATTTAAGACATCACGTTAGCAGAAGCTTATCAACATAAAACCAAAATTACGATAAAATATATTTTTAATGCATTGAGAAACGTTCGACTGAAAAAGCATCTACTTAATGTGAGATGAAATGACAGCGAAGAAAGATGAAAAGCATAATTTCTATTTCTTAAGAGCACTAAATCATCCATAGTATTAAATTATGAGGTTATTTTTAATCAAAATAATAAATTGAATTGGAATTGTACTCACGTATGACTATGTTGTGTGCTTCAGTTACTTTTTAATTAAAGATAACTTCTTTGTTGACAAGTAGCAAGAGAATGCAAAGTTAGCTCAATAACCACTGCCATTGTTTTCGGCCATCTTCACTAGACTGGTTACTGATCAAAATTACGGACGCGGCAATGATACATTTAAGGTCGATACTCATTGATAAAACATCGATCAAAAGTGTAAATTTTCTAATACTTTGTTTTTAATTTTTTTCTGCGCGTACATGTTTTTTATATATCTACGTAGTATATTTTAGTCGATATTAGTATAAATAGAAATGCTATTTTTTAATTTTTGGAATTTTTAAAATATCACTAACGTTACTTAGAAATTCCTTAGGCCGGTATTCACAGTCGCAACTTATTTCTAAGCTGGGCTTAAGCACATGCTGCACATGCTTAAGACATCGGCTAGATTCACAGTCGCTGAATAAGTAACGTCTTAAGTGGTCTTAAGCATCAGCTTAAGCATTTGCTTAGAAAAGTAAATGCTTATCGGTGTAGATTCACAGTCGATGCTTAAGAAAGTCTTAAGCTCTTATGAATTCGTAATCGAATAAGTCCGCCTTATTTGTAGAAAACGAGTTCTTATTTGGCTTCATTGAGGTTATGTTTTTAAGTCAACGATATTGAGGACTTAAGCACGCGTTTGACGGGGTTATTGTGTAGTGATGGGACGGGAGAGAGTAGGTTAGGGTACACGAATACGGTAAAAGAGATTAAAATTACCGATCCCTCCTGCGATGCAGCTGTTAATTTGTTTGCGGTATTATGCTACTGCAAGTTTTCAAGTAAGTCATATAAATATATCAGTATCACTACTCCTAAAAGAAGTAGAAAAAAATAAAGATTATCTATATATGTACTGTAATTGTAGCTTATTCTGGGAGACACGATGAATGTTTCTCAGCCCACAGTCTCCCGTATAGTATTTAGGGTGAGTTCACTAATAGGCAGTCTGATGATAGACTATATCAAGTTTCCCAGGGATCCGGACAATTCCACTGCAGATTAATTCAATAATTAAAATTGCAGATTATTCAATAATCTGGGATAGGGAAACGGAGCTATTGGTTTACCAGGTGTGGATTTTATATCATTATAACTTTTTCTATATACACATATACAATGTAATTGATTTACCAGGTGTGGATGGCGCTATTGATTGCACCCACATTAGATTAACAGCATCCAGGTTCAACAACATGGAAGAAATGTACAGAAATAGAAAAGGATATTTTTCATTGAATGTTCAGGTATGTCATTAAGTTATTTATTTTACCCAATATTCATTGAAACGAATCATATTAATATTTTACTCGACTGATTGATGCACAAATTAACATCAAATTATTCGATCGACACAGGTACAATGAAATCCAAATCAGAACCCGACAGATAGCAGAAAGAACGTTCGATGTTTGGAAGCGCCGTTTTCCATGTCTTACAAGGGGTTTAACAACGAAGTTCTTATGTTCCACAACAACGGTAGTTGCATGTGCTGTGTCCTAATTTTCAATGACATTCTTGTAGAAGAAGATGAAATTGAAAACCAAAATGAAGATGGAGAAGAATTATTAGGAAACGTGGAAAATGTTAATGGCATTGATGGATTTGCTACACGTGAAGCACTCATTGCTTGTACGTTTCATTGCGTAATTGTGTCAAATGAAATGTAATAAGGGGTTTTTTATGCCTATCGAGCCAATAAATAATCATTATTCTTTCGGCTCAAATTGGTTTAATTTATTGATTAAAATACCCTCATCCTCAGTCATATCACAACCTATACCTTGAACCAGTAATTTCAGTCGTAAGTTTTATTTTGTGTTCGTATTTCAGAATGAAACTTTAAATATAAGAGATTTTTATAACGTATGTGATAACATTAATTATAAAATTGTTCTTAATAAATTTGGCTTTTTTTATTAATAAAGGCTCTGTCTATCGCTCGCTCAATTATTTGAATTCAATTCAAAAGCCGCGTCACTAAGTAAGAAATAATGCTACATTTTCAAGAATCATTTTCATTGGTTGTTACAGTAGAAAATCGACGGAAATAGCCGAACGTCAAATAAGCATTGCTTAAGCATGGACTTCACTAAGCAAAGCTTAAGCATCGCTTCCTTAACTAAGTCGGTCTTATTCTCCGACTCTGAATACATAGCGACTTAAGCATTGCTTATTCGAATAAGATGATCTTAGTCAAGAACGTCTTAAGTCCTTGCTTAAATTGCGTCTGTGAATACGGCCCAAAGAATTATCGTTGATACGTGTAAAATTACTTTAGTTTCTAGACGCCTGCCAAAGAAATTATAAGACAAGACAAGATAATTCGCGCAAGGTTGACATCTCAATGTTCGGAGGGACCGCCTCCGGACAGAGATGGGCTCCTCCACCATTGGACCAGGGATGATCCTGAGGGAGGATTCAGGATCCAGCGAAGAGAGGTTGGCAGCCAACATCGATCGAAGATCTTCACCACCAAGCTCAGAACGATTCAAAGCTTCAACCTGCCTTGTCATATTTTCTTGAAAGGATAAAGTCAAAAGAAATATAGTTTGTTTTATTAAAAGCTACGCCGCGAGCAGAGTAGGGATGGGCAATATGTTTCGATTAATTAAATATCGATAGTTTGTTTCCTAATAATCGATTATTTTTGTCGATGTTTTTACAAATCAATTAATCGATTATCGATACTTTTTTACATAACATCGATATTTTTTATCTCTGTAACAAAACTGAACAGCATGACATGATAACGCGACGCGGACTATTCAATGAGCGTATAATTTTCGAGAAATGTTGTATGCTCATTGGGTATAAGTCGTGTTCCGAAATTCATTGCTAGCACTGAAAATCTGTTGTTGCGTGTCCGTCGCGGAATAAAGCACAGCCGACTCTAGTACTAGCCGTGCTGAAGTAAAAATGGCAACACCGCGGGAGTCTGGTCTGAATATATCAACACCTAGCCTACTCTATCTGCCTCCCGGACTCCCGGACTCTCAGCCAATCAACGTCGTCAGACTCCCGACTACTCTCTGGACTTCACATAACCTCTTTGGTTTCGTTCCAATAATTTCGCTTGTTTCAAGGTTTTTATTAACTTATATACACGTTCATCAATTCTTAAATGTTTCAATTTGACCCAAAGATGGTTTTATTTTGCTTCATACCTAAATTTTCTTGAAACCACTGTAAATATTTCAAATATCATGCTTCACAACACCAAACTACTTTGAGAGTACACAAAATATATATCACATTTATAACAATTTTATACTACCACATCACTTCTATTTGCCATAGTTGCAACGTTTATATATTGTTTATACATAATTAACACCAAATAGTGTATATTACTACAGCTTTTAATTAAAAAAGACGTTAATTACAATTCCGAGCACAGGACTCTGTTTTTGAAAATAGGACTCCCGATTGTCACGTGAGCGGTGTTGCCACGTTGTTCAGCATGGCTAGTACTAGAGTCGGCTGTGGTAAAACTCATCAAAGTTGTCTGTATATATATATATGTAATACAATTTGAAACTGCGGACCAATCCAACAATACATACATAACTCGTTCAGTATTTATTGCTCTGTTCGTAGGAGCTGATACAATTAATTAAACTTTTCTACACAGTTTTAAACTAATAAAAATTTAATTCTTCAAGTTATTATCAAGCTTATGAAAATGGCAAACAATGGTATAACTTTTATTGTATTGTAATGGTCAATGAACATCAAAATCATGGTTATACGTGAAAATATATCTGTTTTAGAGGACAATAAAACTGAAGGCTCAGCTGAAGTTGAAGAAGAAAATGAAAATGAAGATGCAGAAAAAATTCTTATCATAGATCCTGATAGCGAAGTTTGATTTTCATTATTCCTTTAATATTAATTTTTAATGTCACTAATTTAAAAATATTGATACTTTTTTTTAGTATATAATTGTTTTTATTAATGTTTTAGGAACTGGATTTCAATCATTCAAGATTAACGAAGCTGGAAAATTTGGAACCTTTAAGAAAAATACATAGATTATGTTTCACATGGAATTTAATTAAAAAAATTGAGAACCTTGATACTCTTACAACTTTGGTTGAACTAGAGCTGAGGGATAATCAGATTGTTGTTATAGAAAATCTAGATGCTCTTACAAATTTAGAGTGCGTAATTTGAACATTTAATTTTGTTACAGTAATTAATTTGTACAAATATTAAATGGAATTATTATCTTTTCAGACTCCTAGATTTATCTTTTAATCGTATTAAAAAAATAGAAGGATTAGAAAACTTATCAAATTTAGAAAAATTGTTTTTGTCCTCAAATAAAATCCAGTGTATTGAAAATCTGTCACATTTGAAGAAGCTTGAAATTCTTGAGTTGGGTGACAACAAAATACGAGAAATTGTTAATCTTGAAGGTCTTGATAGTTTGACAAGTCTGTTCCTTGGTAAAAACAAAGTAACAAAGATTGATAATTTAGAATGTTTACCACATCTTCAATTATTGAGTCTTCAAAGTAATCGTATTACAAAAATAGAGAATTTAGATGAATTGAAGAAATTGGATCAGCTATACTTGTCTGAAAATGGAATAACATGTATTGAAGGATTATCTGACTGTTCAGAACTAACAACATTGGACTTAGCTAATAATAAAATTAAAAAAATTCAAAATATTGATCATCTTGAAGATTTGAAGGAATTTTGGGTAAGAATGGTATCTTATTTTACAATAAAAAGTTATACTTTTATTTATTATATTTTATAGATAAATAATAATGAAATCGAAGAATGGACCACTGTAGAAAATTTAACAGCCAATAAGAAATTACAAACTGTTTATCTAGAACATAATCCAGTTGCCAAAGATCCAAATTACAGAAGAAAAATAAAATTGCTATTGCCATGGCTCGTGCAGTTAGATGCAACACTTTGCAGATAAATATTATAATAATACAAAGCTATCATTATTCGGATTATGTTTATTAATACTATTACTTATTTCGTTTTAATATTGTTTTAAAAGATTATTTTCAGAAAAAGTGGAAAGTCAAAAATGTAGCCTTAACCTTATAGATAAAAGATGTGAAAGGTTTCTCAACAAGGCAATGCTGTTTCTTATACTTTATATTTTATTAAGCCTTGTGAATGTATTGTGAAATGGTGGAGATTAATCACAATTTTAATAGTTAAAAATATAAATTTATAAAGAAATCATATATCTGTCTTATAAAACAATTATTTTAATATTTAACCAGAACTTTAAAATACTTATTAAAATGGCAATTCTTTTTATGATCATCATATTTAAGGTTTATCTTACAATATTTGAATATTTGATATTTCCTATATACTTACATTTTAAGTATATTAACAAAAATACTCATTAAGTAATAATAATCAAGCATTAATAATTGGGCAAAGATATTTAAACTTTATCTTTCAGTGATATTGTTTCATTTTCAATGCTGTATTTATTATGGAATATTCAATGTATTTACAATGTTGTTACAAATTTCTTAATTTTTACAAAACGTCTATTATATAAATAACGTTTTCAGTTAACTTCAAGTGCTATATATTCTCCCATTAAGTAATCTTACATGTTAGAATGTAATTTTGCGCTCATCGATGTACATGCTAAATATATAAAAATTATATAAATACATATTTGATAAATTTCTTAATTTACAAATTACATTTGTCAACTATTACGAATTTCTTTTTTTTATAGTAGAATGAATTATATTACTATATTGCTAGTTAAAAACTATTTTGCTAATTAATGAAAAATAAAACTGTAATTTTCTTTTAACAATGCAAAATATTTTTTATATTTAGCTATCACTCCCTATTAATATAATGTATATTTTAGAAACATAGTAGAATTATTGCTTAACATTTTTATTCCTGTATCTATCATGGGTGAGCAAAAGAGTATAAATCAAATTTTGGTTAAAACAGTATGAATGATTCTAAATCAACAGGATGAGACATAAGTCATCAACTTTCAGGTCAAAAACTAATACCAAATTTTACATTGCATTTTAAATACATATGTATGTATTATACAAAACTGATAATTCCAACTTATACTCTTTTGCCTGTCCATGAGAAATAGAAAATATTCTTTTGTAGAAAGGACACTGTTTGTTTTCTTTTGATTTTAATAGACCTCTGTATATATTGCATATATATTTGTTTTATCAACAAGAATTTAAGAAGTGAAGTCATTTCTAAAAATTGACAATCTAAAAGATTCTCAGGCTATTTTGGAAATTAACTTAATCATGAAAGATATTGTTTACAATTATTGTTTAGCAGTCTTTAGCTACTGAGATCCCCTATACTTCTTAAAAAACTGTTTTAGTCTAGGATTTTATCATGCAACTGTCCAATTACGCGATATCGCGGGCAGAATCATCAATGATTAAACGTTACTTTAGGGGACATTACATTTTTTTGGGTATGGGTTCCATCACTAGGTGTATTTAAATTACTCATAATATTGATGCAGTAGAAGCAATAAGCAAATGCATGGGCTGTACTCTCTCTCTCTCTCTAAGATAAATATAAACCTAACTAACTCAGACAGTATCAAATTTACGGTTTGATTAAACCCGCTAAAGTGGTTGGCACTGCCGACTCGGCACCCACATGCGTCTGCCTATAGCTAGCGACACCGTTCATTGGACAAAAAGCCAATATGACGTCACAGTAACGT